CTTTATTTGCTTTCCTTGTTAAACTAAGACATGGATTGTCAGATGAGTTCCCAATCTGATATAAATATACATAAAGAGGGCAATGCTCTAGTCAAAATAAACATGTAATCCGATCATTATTCATTTCCCTAAATCCTACTTAGACTTACCGTATAACGAACTTTTTTTGCAATGAAATAATGTATGACTCTGTATGTGAACTAATAAGATTTTTTTGATAAACAACTCCCAAGTTAAAAGGCAATTATTTTCTATTTTTTACCAACAATTTCAATATTTTGTTGATTTTTTCACCTTACATATTCAATCGCAATCACCCTGTAACTAGGAAATAATTTGGGCTGCCCTCAAATAGTACAATATATTTCTAATCCAACACAGTGTGTCTATCTCTGAAACATATCTACTTATGTCAGTATTTTTTTTTTGTTTAAAATTCATATATTTGGTACATATTAGGTTATATTTAGAAAACTAGTCATAGGATGTAATTTTACCAATAAGAATTTTGAACGAGTACATCGAGCACTATACGATATCAAATATTGAGAAACTTTGACGGTGATATATTTTTTTTTTTCGGTATTTCAGCTATTTTTGTTTTTTGACCAAAAAAGATCTGCCGAATCATTAATCATTAAGGGATAATATTTTAATTATAGTAGTTAAGTATGTATTTTGACTATACAAAATGAGCAAATAACTTCCAAATATATTTAAGGGTGATTTATGGTGTCCATTTTAAAGAATGAGGGATTTCTAACTTCAACACCCTGTATCTCAAAATCTAGTCATAGGATACGATTGGGCCCATGGACACTTTTGATGGGGACATCAAGTAATTTAACATATAAAAAATTCAGACATTTTGACGGTACTCATGTTTGCATAAGAAAAGTGCGTGGTATTTAAAATAAAACTTGTGAGGTAAATAATAACATTTCAGAGAGTAAAAATAACGATCAAATGGGGTACCGGGGATGGGCCGTTACACTACATAACAAATTTCTCCATAATTCCCACCCTCAAGCCTATTCGTCCCCCCCCCCCCATCTTCGCAGCTCACAAGCCGCCACAGCAAATTATATAATTTAATTTCGCGCTTGTGAAATACACTTTTCCATCGGACTTGTCTGCGGACTTTTCCGAGCGACCCATCACTAGCTAAAACAATAATTAAGAATAAAAAATCATTTACCGAGAAAATTAATTAATATTAAATATTTTCCTTTAAGACTAATACACCCAGCAGATGACGAGCTCGTAGGTATTTTCTGACAATATAATCGGTTCTCTCACTCCTATTTTGAGATGGCATGATTTTAGTAGGGGAAGGTCGGGCAAAGTGAAATAGGCGGGCAAAGTGAAATGTTGGTATATTATTTTTTGAAATTGGCGGGTTCAAGTTTTACTGCTACAAGAAGCTAGCTTCCTTAAGTTGGTACTTATAAATGTAATATGAAAGTTGTAATGCAAGTTCCGCATGTGATAATACGACTTTTAGTGTTTTTAAGTGAAAAACTGTAATATTCGTACCATTTTTTGGAACGAACCATACGAAAACGCTTATATTATACATGTTTAGAAGCATTTTAAAGTGTTTACGGTCCCTATTTATCGTTTTGGTAAAAAGGTGGATTTGTTTTTTGACGGTCGCGGCAAGGCGGGCAAAATGAAATAAAGGTGTTGCGGGCAAAGTGAAATATTTCACTTTGCCCGCTCAGTTAGGGCAATGTGAAATGGCTGTTGTTGTCGCATGATATATGACCAAGCTTAGTGCTATCTTTTTTATTTTCAGATAAGATGGTGCATAAATATATTAGAAAGACTACCCAACAATCATGGGAGAAAAATAGCATGGAAGCTGCAATAGCGGCTTGTAGAGCTGGAACATCAATTAATGCCGCAGCTCGCCAGCACAATATTCCTCCTGCGACGCTCTTCCGGAGAATAAAAGCACCAGTAGATCAATGTGTTAATAAAAAACTTGGAAGATATCGTTCTGTATTTAGTGAAGAACAAGAAAAGATTTTAGTTGACTACGTTTTACAAATGGAAGAGCGACTCTTTGGTTTAACCTTAGCAGATCTTAAATCTGTCGCATATCAATTGGCTGTCAGGAACAACATTTCTCACCCATTTAATACTGAAAAACAGGTAGCCGGCAAAGATTGGGTTAATGGCTTTTTAAAAAGAAACCCAACATTATCACTGCGGCTTCCAGAGAAAACCTCAGCAGCTAGAGCCTCGGCCTTTAATGAGGTTAATGTTAAAAAGTTTTTCGATCTACTTGATAAATTATATGAAAATCACCGATACCCCCCGAATCGCATATATAATTGTGATGAGACGGGAATTACAACAGTTCCAAATAAGCCTTCCAAAATTATATCAAAAAAGGGGAAAAAACAGGTGGGAGTTCTGTCCTCAGCCGAGAGAGGAACGCTGGTTACTGCTGAAATTTGCTTCAATGCGGCCGGAGAATATATTCCTCCAGCTTTGGTATTTCCAAGGGTTCGACACAATGTGACTTTTGAAAACGGTGTTCCTCCAAACACAAAAATTTTTACCCATACAACAGGTTGGATGCAAACAGATATATTTACTGAGTGGTTCCAACATTTTCTAAAATTTGCAAAGCCAACAGCTGAAGACCGTGTCCTACTCATTTTAGATGGCCATCTACTCACATAAAAAATATTGACATGCTGACTGTAGCCAAAGAAACTTTTGTGGATATTCTCGTTCTGCCTCCGCATTGTACACATCGGTTACAACCGCTTGATGTTTCCTTTATGTATCCGAATTCCACATTTTATCAGCAAGCTGTAAGAGTGTGGCGGCGAGAACACCCCGGAAAAATCGTAACTATTCATGAAATTGGAGCCCTATTTGGCGAAGCCTACTTAAAGGCAGCCACGATGGAAACGGCGATTTCCGGTTTCAACAAAACGGGCATATATCCATTTCAAAGAATTTTCGGTGCAAGCTCCTTTGCTGCAGCTGAAACAACTAATCGTGAGGCAACTGCTGGAACAAGTAAAGATCAAAGAACATGTGCCGTCCAAGAAAAACCGCAAACACCGTCAAATGTGATTCCGGAAGGTTCTATTATTGTTTCTCCCCAGGACATACTACCGATTCCTCGAGTTTTTAATCAAGGAGATGGCGCCCCAAAAAGGAAGAGAAGTCATGGATCCACAGTAGTTGCGACTTCAACCCCTTTTATGGAGGAGCTGAAAATTTCCAAGCAACGAAAGGAACCAGCGGCGAAAAAGAAAAAAAAGATACTCAAGAAGCAATTGTTTCCCGAGAATGATACTGACAGCGAGAGTAGTGAGATAGATCCACCCCTGGACGATGAGAGCAGCTTCGAGTTGGATGACCAAACCTCTCCAACTGGCCCCACAGGTAAATGCTGCACGATTACGGATTTGGAAGAAGGGAGTTGGGTTGCAGTTAACTATGAAGGAAACCTTTTTCCTGGTTTGGTCATAAACCGTGCGAACACAGAAGTGACTGTAAAATGCATGGAAAAATGTCAAAAATATTTTCGTTGGCCTAACAAAGAAGATATAATGACTTATGGGGAAGAAGACATTTACATGGTCATTAAAAAGCCAAAAGTGCTAAGGCCAGGTTTTTTTTGATATACCCGAACTGGGTACTTATGCAACCCCATAACATTTTATTATTTTCTTTATAATATGTGATGTTATATAAATGTGTTTGACTTTAATTTTTTTATTATTAAAATGAGGTTTTAGATATATTTTATAGTATTTCACTTTGCCCGCAACATGGCGGGCAAAGTGAAATTTGCACTCTCATCGATTTTAATTTTTTTCTCCCGGGTGTCGTTAGGTCAGCGGTTTTTAGCTAATACATTGTGAACAAGTATAATATAGAAAACAATTGCGCATAAGATTGTTTTTCTGATTGCACCCACAAGACCACAGGAAATGATCAAACGTTAACTATTCCACTTTGCCCGACCTTCCCCTATCAGCTTCACAACAAAAAATACAATTTTATAAATGACTAGTTGGGATGTAAATCTAATACTTAATATCTGTCTGTATCCGTATATAATCTAAAATCTTAACATTTAAAACAAGGTTAATCTCTTTAAAAATTAACCTTTTTTCCCCAATTATTCAAAAATCTGACATCAATTCGTAGAACACACTTTTAATGACGCTAAAAAATAACAAATAAAAAACACAATCTGCAAAAATAATACAACAAAATGTTCAGTAGGTATTATACCTAAAAAAAAAAAAAATTAATTGCACGAATGCATCATTAGTATCATCCAACAAAACATGTTAATTTTCAATCATATTTTAAAAATAAAACTATTTTTCCTAAACAGTCTGTACAAAAATAAAACAATTCTGAATGGAACTTTAAATACTTCTTAAATTAATATAAATACATACATACATTTTAACAATAAAGTAATTTGTACCTACTTGAGCACTTTTCTCTAAGTATGACATTTAAAATAAAATCTGCAATGTGCTTATTTACAAATTCAATATTGGAAAAATATACCACCTAACAAACACTCAATTGTGGTTTTGATTTTGGACATTAAAAAGTAAGTTTAATACATATTTAAAAACTTTTCTAAAGCCTTTTGATAAAAAATTGAAAGCAAAAAAATCTCTTTTTTAATATCAGACTAATAAATAAACAAATAAACCAGTTATTTATTAATTTGCATGGTTCATTCTAGGGTTTGATGAATGGTGTATTAGCTGTAATTTTATTTCTGCTGATTTTAATCCTAGTTGGTTAACTTGTCGATAATGACTAGTGAGATTTTCTTAACCTATAAGTGACATTGCACCATCAATCATCGTAAAAATCGCTCCAGAACGACACGGTAAATAATAATAATAATACCCCTCCACAAAACATAGCGTCCAGGGTTCACTCGTTAGGCGGTACACTTTCAACAAACATAACTGTTGTGAAAATAAAAATATGTATTTTTAATCAGCAACATTTATAACTTGAGGACATGTTACGTTATTGTGCACTTTCCTTTTTTTCCTTCTATGAATTGTTTCATCTCTTTGGTTTCTATCATCCTCACTATCGGATATAACTAAAACATTGTCTTCTTGTTCATTGTCACTTATTATAACTGTGGCTTGAATTTGGCTATCGTATTCTGATAGATCCGAAAATAGTTGCTTCCATATTTTGAGTTTCATAGCGAAATCCAACGATGGATGTGTCAAAGATTCCAGTTCCTCTTTTATGTAAGTCGAATTTGGAACGTCTACAAATAAAAAAGGATTTTTAGGGTAACTTGTGATTGTTTAAATTCTTTTCAGTATCTATATTCACTCAAGATGGTCGTGAATCGAATAAAGAAACATATTTTTCCCCTATCTACATAAAAATTATAGCAATAATCCCCTGATTTTAGGGTACAAAGTGTTACTTTTTGCCTAGGGAGACAAAAGTTCTTTTCGTCCTTACGTGGGAGAAAAAAATTATATGATAATAAATTTACAAGTTACAATATCCAGCCACCCTGTATAATATTTTGACGTTAATAAATAATTTAATGTTACGATAATTAAGCATAGTAAATGTTTGTTAATTTTGTAAACAACGTTGCCAGTATTTCAAAATATATAAATAAGAAGTGTTATCTACAAAGATATGGACTATAACAATGTATCAGAAATTTTAATCTTATTTACGTAAAAACAATCAATAAAGGTATTTATTTTTCTAAGAAAACATTCATTCGTCCGTTTAATTGGTCATTTACAAGAAAATTTGTATTAAAAAAATATTATTGTGTTTTAATCCCGCTAAAAACCGGCCAATAGAATAACTACACATTATTACAAAGTCAATTTTTTTTATTTTTGAATTATTTAGATCAGTTGACTGGATTTCTTCCACTCTATAAACTGGTAAAATCCACTATGTCCTCTAACAATTATAACTTATTTTAAATTATTTTCATATTCATTAAGTCCATAATAGCATTAAGTGACTTAATGGACTTTTCATCAAATCTGACTTAGTGTCTTTTGACATTTATGTGATTTAGATATATAGAGGAGGTTTCTCATACATTGTGCAAACAATTTAGCAATGAACTGGCTAGATACTAGCGTCAAATTTCTGGAATTACTAATATTGTCTTACTTGTTTAGAAATGTAAGAAGTATTAGATCATGAAACTTTAATCTGTATTTATTATACATGTCGATGTGAAAACTCAACTGATTCGAGAGAAGTTTTTATTCTTCAAAGGAAGATCCTTAGAATAATAGGTAAATTTCCTAAATATGATTATTGTTGACCAATATTTGTAGAACATAGTATTTTGCCACCAGCTTCATTATATGTTCTAGACATTTATAGATTTCATAATTTTGGAACTATATAGTCATATGTCAGTTAGTAGATTACATTTAACTAAAAGCTCTCCTAAATGTATAGGACCCATTTTATATAATAAACTTCCGGACTTCATAAAAAATTGTATAACAGATATTTTATTTAAGAATAAGCTCAAAAACTTTTTAAAAATATATGTTTATTCTGTAAAATTGTCTACATGAAATAAATTATCTGTCTATCTATTGTAATATTATTCACCAGAAGTTACTTGGCCTCTGTCGTAAATTTCTGATTCGGCCGAAAAAGATCAACCCTATACTTATAGCCTTTGGTATACAAATATCTATTATATTTCTATAAATGACAAATTTAATCTAAAAAATTGTTATTTATGATAAATAAATATTTTAGTTTATTAAATCGATAACAAATCAATGAAAATGTTGCTAGAGTTGGAGACGTTTTTATAGAAAATTGTAATGTTACTATTTTATACTAATAAAGCTACAGTAAATTTATTTTAGCGTTTTATTCAAATGTAAATATAGTATCTGAATGAAATTAATGCCACTAATCAAGGTTTTAAGGCCTCGTAACTTCAACCTTTGTTTTAGATGCACTTTTCTTTAATATGTCCTTGACAAAATATTTACAAAAGAATCTTTCGGATTCTGATAAAAAAAAACTATTTGATACGCTCATGGAGACCAAAACTGTCAAAAGTTCGTAGATACTGGCTTCAAACAAAGCCTATGTTAAACGGTGCCCGTTAGTTATCTATATTTCATTTAAACTACTACTACTACTGTTTTTATGCATTTCTTAAAAAATACTCGCATACTTGTTTTTTCACACCGACCCTGTGATAATCTCTAAGCTTAGTCTTAAATAGATGAGTAATACGGGTGAGTTCTTGATATTTGACAACTTTCATAATTTTTAAACCCACTTTATTAGTTATGAGCTCATTCGTTTTTACCTCTCTATTTTAGACCATACCTGATGATGAGGATCTGATCTCCTCGAAACCGGTCGTATTAAATTACTCTTGTGAGATCTTAAGGACCATCTTTGTTTTATTTACCTCTTTTTTGTATATTTCATTTGTTTATTTGAGTTTGGAACTTAGACTAGGTAATAAAGAGAGGACGCGTAACAAGTATATCGAGCACACATAGTATTCTGTGCCGATTATCTACTGGCCGCCAATATTTTGGCATTTCGGTGACACCAAAGTTTTTGTTCGTGTTTATTTCTAATTTTTGAATTAAACGACATTTAATAATTGGTTTATTACAATGGTTTATTGTGTGGCATATCAGTGTAAAAGTTATAGCGGCAAGAAAAGTAGATATTACGTTTCACAGGTAAATGATGAACATCAATCGTTTTTACTATATATATTTTCTTATACTTTTCATTTTATTTGGTATTATACAACTTGGTATTTACATATTGTACATGTCTCAATCTAGATGAATAAATTTTTCCCGCCAAGCTTGTTTATTTTGTGTTTTTCATTGATATTTAAGCAATTAATGATATTAAAATGGACGAACAAGTAATATTAACTGTTATTAGATTCTAATTTACTTTGCTTTTTATTTAATTGCAGCAATGTTTATTTGTTGTTTTATTTTAGATTTCCTGTGGATCCAGCAAAAAAATCTTTGAATTCAGGCAACGAAAATTGCAAATTGGATGCCTACTCCAAATGATAGATTGTGTTCAAAACATTTTGAGACGTTTATTAAATGGAGCAGTTCCCACTATATTTCCTGAATTCCCTAAATGGCCTAAATACATGCAACCGAAGAAGGTGCGTATAATAATAAAAAACATAATTAAACACAGTGTTGCCAGAATATATTTTTGTAATGTACCAGATTTATCTAAAAAATGTACCAGATTTCATAAAAATGTACTAGATTCTATAAAATTACCAGATTTTTCTAATTATGAAGTATGGTCATTAAAGACCAAAAAAAGGTTTATAGAGAACACGAACACAACAATTTTAAACAATATTTTATCTCTCGACAAATTTCTGACACTATTTTATATCTCGAGCAGTTTTTGAATAAGATTTTAAAACTTTTTGATACTCTTTTATCTCTCGAACAGTTTTTAAATCTTTTTTTAACTCTTGAGCTATTTTGAAACAATATTTTATCTCTCGATAAAATTCTATCTCTCGAGCAATTTTTAAAAACTTTTTTTTATCCCTCGAGCAATGTTTGTACAAAATATTTTGTAAAATGTTTAACACTATTTAATCATTCGAGCAATTTTTGAAAAAGATTTTAATACCTTTTGATATTATTTTTATCTCTTGAACAGTTTTTAAAAAACATTTTTTTATCTCTTGAGCTATTTTTAAAAAATATTTTTATCTCTCGATAAATTTCCAACAGTATTCTATCTCTCGAGCAATTTTTAACAACTTCTTTTATCTCTCCAGCAATGTTTGTACAATATTTTTTTTAACACTATTTATTCACTCGAGCAACTTTTAACAGCCTTTTTTTACCTTTTAAGTTATTTTTGAACCATATTTGATCGCTCGTGCAATTTTTGAGCAAAATTTTAATAATTTTTAACACTATTTTATCTCTCGAGCAATTTTTATTAACATTTTTTATATTTCTAACAATTTTTAAACAATGTTTTATCTCTCGAGAAATGTTTAACAGTATTTTTTAATTCTCGAGTAATTTTTGAATAAGATTTTAATAACTTATGATACTATTTTATCTCTCGAACAATTTTTAAACCTTTTTTTATCTCTTGAGCTATATTTAAACAATATTTTATCTTTCGATAAATTTCTAACATTATTCTATCTCTCGAGCAATTTTTAACAACTTTTTTATCTCTTTAGCAAACTGCACAATATTTTAACTCTCGACAAATTTATAAAAATATTTTAACTCTCGATAAATTTTTGACAATGTTTTATATCTCGAGCAATGTTTGTACAATGTTTTATCTCTCGAGCATTTTTTAATAGTATTTTATTTTTCGAGGAATTTTTAAACAATGTTTTATCTCTCGAGAAATTTCTAATAGTAGATATCTCTTGAGTCTATTTTGAACAATATTTTATTTCTCAACCAATTTTTCAATAGTATTTTATCCCTCGAGCAATTTTTGAACAAGGGTTTAACATTTTGTAATACTATTTTACCTCGAGCAATTTTTGAACACATTTTAACAATTTATTATACTATTTAATCTCTGAAAAATTATTAAATATTTTTATTTCTCATTAAATTTCTAACAGTATTTTTATCACTATAGCAATTTTTGAACAATATTTTATCTCTCAAGCAATTTCCAATACTATTTTATACTTTGAACAATTTTTAACACCCTTTTTTACCTCTCAAGCCATTTTTGAACAATATTTGATCTCTCGTACAATTTTTAAACAATGTTTTATCTCTCGAGAAATATCTACTATTTTATCTCTGAAGTAATTTTTAACAACTATTTTAATTTCTCTTGCAATTTTTGACTAATATCTTACACTTCAAATGGAAACATACGCTGAAAAAAGTACTAGATAATGTGTCGAGTGTACTAGAGTACCAGATTCTCAGAGAATGTACTAGATCTAGTACAATTGTACTAGACTGGCAACACTGATTAAACATATATTTTTTTTAATTACTTTTCATTATTATGTTAAACACTTTTAAGAATTTAGCAATCCTTTTGTGTATAATTCAAAACATTACAGTAATAATTTATTGTTGAAGCTGGGCCTGGCCCTTCTAATTTAAGTGCAAATAAGGAATCTATCATAAAAAGCCCTAGCATAAAACGGCTTAGAAGACAACTTTTACAAGAGATAGAAAAGAATAAAGAAAAGACAAATCAAAGTTCTTAAACAAAAACTTAAAAGATATAAAAAAAGTTGTTTCGCAAAATCTTCTTGTTATTATACCAAATTAGTAATATTTAAGGGTCAGTAATAAAATTATCTTCATTTATGTATAATTTTTCTTACTAGCTTAATTTAATAATACCCAGATAGCACACTACATCTTAAAGCCGTCCAGTTTGTCTTACTTTCGTCCAAACGTCCTGGTACGTAAAACGGAGATAAATAAAATAGTGTTAGAAATTGTTAAAATTTTGCTCAAAATTGCACGAGACATCAAATATTTTTCAAAAATAGCTTGAAAGGTAAAAAAAGACTGTTAAAAATTGCTCGAGTGATTAAATAGAGTTAAAAATTGTACAAACATTGCTCGAGAGATAAAAGTGTTAGAAATTGTTAAAATTTTGCTCAACAATTGCACGAAAGATCAAATATTGTTCAAAACTAGCTTGAAAGAAAAAACTGTTAAAAATTGCTCGAGTGATTAAATAGTGTTAAAAATTTTACAAAAAATTTTGTACAAACATTGCTCGAGGGATAAAAAAAAAGTTGTTAAAAATTGCTCGAGATATAGAATACTGTTTCAAAATAGCTCAAGAGATAAAAAAAGATTTTAAAACTGTTCGAAGAGATAAAAGAGTATCAAAAGGTATTAAAACCTTATTCAAAAACTGCTCGAGAGATAAAAGTGTCAGAAATTTGTCGAGAGATAAAATATTGTTTAAAATTGTTGTGTTCGTGTTCTCTATAAACCATTTTTTGCTGTTTAATGGCCATACTTCATAATTATAAAAATCTTATAGAAATTTTATAGAATCTAGTATATTTTTATGAAATCTGGTACATTTTTAAGATAAATCTGGTACATTACAAAAATATATTCTGGCAACACTGCCTGTCATGCAGTCCTCGCTTGTATTTCGAGGTGATTAGTTGATATTTATAGAAATGGCAGATGCAGTTCTTTCGATCTATCCTGGCCAGTGTTGCCAGATGAAAATTTGCTGGAACAGTATATGTGCGAAAAAAAAACAGTAGATTTTAGTACAGGAAGAAATAATTACAATTTGCAGTGTAGTAGATAAAAGAAAAAACAAATAATTATATAAGAAACGAAAAATAAACAAATAATAAAAATTTTAATACATACTTAATGTCAGGAAACAAAAAAAAAACAATGAAAAATAATAGATATATAATGATTATCTTGTGAAAATCTACAATAGTGGCTGCTTAACGCTGCTTTTACTTCAGAAAATTTACTAGCGAAAATATTCTTTGACCATTTGCTGAAGAATGAGGAAACTTAATAAATTAAGAATAAAATATGCTAAGTTGGCGAAAACAGTAGATTTCATGCCTAAAACAGGAGAACAGAAACAAAAACATTGGATCTACTTTAAAACAGTAGGTCTGGCAACACTGATCGTTGCTCTCAAATGATCGTCTGCAGTTGCCTGCCTCCTTGCGTTGGCTTCCCAAATGTGTGAAGCATAACGTAAATGCATCTGTCTCCTTCCTCGTCGCTTCTGCTGTCGTCTGTCGCTCGTTCTCAAATGGTACCTTAATCAAGTCGCCGTGTGCCGTCTCGCCTATTTACGGGGGCACTTTGTTGGGCGACGTCCAAATTACTCCTCCAACGACTGATACGGGAGTTAATAGAAATGAATTTATAGTATCGATAGAATTTAATTATTTATTAAACTGTTCAACATAATTTTTTCTTTTTGTTAAAATAAGACAAGAGAGTGTGTGTGAACTTGCAGCTTGCTATGTAAAACAAAAGAATATTACAATAATCTCAATTTATAGGTCTACTTTTTACCATAATTTGAGCCATTTTATGGACATATTGCCCAAAGTTCTTGAGCTGGCTTATAACTTCAAGAAATCTTCTAAAAGTAAATTACTTATAACAGGAGATTTCAATGTAAATTTTTTAGATCCAAATGACCAAAATGCCTCTAATATAAAAAATCTATTTTTATGCTACAATCTGCATCAAGCAGTTCACCAAAATACTAGATACAATAAATGTTTAGATAATTTTTTTTTATAAATTTTGACATTATAACTGTCTGTAATTGAAGAAACCTCTAAAATAAAAAACAACTTAACATTTATTAGAAATTATTATTCATACAATATTAAACTATTTCTGAACTATTTAAATTCTGAAAAATGGCTAGAAGTTAATGATGCATATTTGGCGAAAGATAAATAAATGCTTTTATTACAATCTTCGGTTCATATTACAATATATGTTTTAAATCCAAACCTCAAATGCAGAATAAAAGGCAGGGCTCTTATTGGGTTTCTCCTACAATTACTGAGGCAAAAAATAGACTGCTGTTTTTGCATGAATGGCAAAAACAGCATCCTAGTACTCAAAATATTCAATAATATGAAGATTATAAATTAACATGATTTTTGCAATAATTATATATTAAATTCTGATAATAAGGCAAAGACTTTGTGGAATATTATTAACAAAAAAATTGGTCGAAATAAAACAAATACAAAGCCAGAAAATTTAACTCCAGGAAATTTAACTCCTGAAGATCTTAATAATTTTTTTATTAATAATGCAGAAAACATATTTCAGAATCTAGAGAAACCAGATATACCTGCTACTTCCTTTATAATTATACCACAATTAAAAAATTCAATGTTTTTTCAGCCAGTTATCCAAACCAATATAGAATCAATTGTAAAAGATTTAAAAAATAAAAGAACAGAGGATATTGATGGATTTAATGTATTTATAATGAAAAAATGTATTTCTTTTTTGTCTAAACCTTTAACTATAATTATAAATGCTTGTCTAACTGAAGGAATATTTCCTGATAGCATGAAAATTGCTAAGGTCTGTCCTCTATTTAAAAAAGGAGACCCTTCTCAGCCTTGCAACTTCAGACAAATTGCTGTACTTCCCATATTCTCCAAAATCTTGGAAAAAAATTATGTATAACAATCTAATATTATATTTAAATTCTTCCAACATACTCACGCCATTCCAGTATGGTTTTAGAAGGGGACAATCTACAATAGATGCCTATTATCTCTAGTACAATATATAGAAAATTGTTTTGAAAAAGCTGGAAACTGTTTAGGTGTATTTACAGATCTAAGCTCTACTTTTAACTGTGTGGATCATTCAATTCTATTATTAAAACTGGAGAGGTATGGAGTACGAGGTATTTGTTTACAGCTTTTTGAATCTTATTTAACTGACAGATGTCAGATGACAGATATACATTAATGATCTTCCTGACCATATGCATTTTGAAAACCTTATCACATGTATATATGCTGATGATACTTCTTTTTGTATTGATACTAAAAGAGGAACAGATCATGATCAAGTTTTCTCTGATGTTATGATTCAGGCAAAGAGGTGGTTTTCTGTAAACGACCTGTTTATAAATGACACAAAAACTATCTCCCAATTATTTACAGTAAATAGTGAACAAGTTAATAACAATTCTGTTAAAATACTTGGCATTCAAATTGATCCACATCTCAGATGGACAGAAAATATTGAAGCACTTTGTTCCAAATTATCACGAGCAGTTTTTGCTATCAGGAAAATATGCTTACTATGCTCTATTTCATAGTCATTTGACATACGGGACAATATGTTGGGGCAATGCTGCTGACACACATATCTCAAGTCTTTATTTTGCAAAAATCAGCCATAAGAGCCATAACACATGCTTCTTGGCAAGCCAGTTGTAGACCAGTATTACCAGAACTTAAAATTATGACACTCTATGCAGTAATAATCTATCAAAACCTTCTATTCGTAAGAAATAATATTAACACATTTTTTCCCACTCAGATATCCTATAATACAAGGCACAGAGATAACTTAGGACAAAGAAATATTATATTGAGCTATACAATATACTACCACTTAATTTTAGAAATCAGCCTGTAGATAAATTTAAACATGCATTAAAACAAATGTTATCCAATAATTGCCTATATAGATTAGAGGAATTTAAATCAATACAGATGGAGGACGGAGGCTGTAAATGTTTGTAAATTTCAATTTTATATTTTTAGATTATTATATTTAGGTAAATTTTATTATAGGTATATATATTTAGTTTTAATTGTAATTTGAGGAGCCATAAAATGTAATATTTTCTCAGGTAAATAAAGATATTGTATATATTGTATTGTACTGTCGCTGTGGGTGTAATAAGTTGCTCAAGATTACTGCATTATTTCAAATATGTCCTGTAGTGTTAGCATTGCTTTACATTAGAGAGTTAGAAGATATCATGAATGGGCAATGACCATTGTGTGTCTTTTTTTGGTATGGTCAACATAAAAAGTATCACCACTTATATCATGTACTATTATATTATAATGAGTAAAAAAATGAAAAGCCCATTTCCTATCATTTCACAAGAGAACTCAGCATATAAGATCTAACTAGGATATCAAAACCATTAATGTTTCAGGATTAAAGAAAATAAGTCTTACCAAAATTATTATAGACGACCTCCACAACATCTACAATGTCACAATTTTTAAGGTCCCATTCTATTTTCCATCCAATGGCAATAAAAATATTAGGAGAATCATTTGCGTATTTAATTCCTAAGGTCCCATCTTCATCGCTCCTTTGCAAACTGACTCTAGGTTCCTTTTTCAAAACAATTTCCGTTATCAATCTACGTGCTTCAAAAAATCTCGAAACTTTTTTAAGGGTTAAAAATGTGGAATTTAGGTTTCTATGTCTTTGTAAAAAGTTTCGACAAACGGTAATTTCTTTCTCCAAACATAAGTCTTGAACATGTAAATCTAGTTTTAAAACCTCATATGAATTGTCCTAAAATAATCATATGTAACTATTCACAAATTTATATTGTTTAAATCCTTACATATATAAAAACTAATATTTTTATATTGTAAAATACATTAAAAATACTGAAATTCGCTGTGTAAATAGTACACAGCTTCTCTCCAAATGCATTTTCCTGGTCTTGATTTTTATAATTTTCTTTTTTAATTTGTTCGAATTTTATTTCTGACAAATCTTCATATATTGCAAAGTCTCTTTTCAACTGTTCTATATCATTATCCATTTCTTACGGAGCATTTTATGATGAACTTTAAAAATTATAAAAATATTTGTCAGTGTGACAGTAACATAAGTGACCCTGATAAATTTCAAAACAAAACAGAGTGAAATAGGTTAAGTTCAATGAAGTAGAGAACGGTAGATCGATAGTTGTCAATGAAAAAGTGTAGACATAATGTACTCATTTTGTAAACAAGGTACAGAGACGGTTTAAGAACACTTTTGTGTAACAAAATAAAGACGTATTATAAAATAACTATAAATAAAAAAATTAAAATTAGTCTCTTTATGATATCCGAAAACTATGTCTTGGATAAAATTAACGCAACAACATACATCGGATAAATCATATTTTTACATTAATTTTGTCCAATAAATATAAATACTCTTAATTTTCAGGAATTTACGTTTACAACGTCTTTCCATTAAAAAAAATAAAATGTCTTGTTTCAAAATAATGGATATTGAAGTAAATACGGATAACGTATTAAATTTTAAACTGTGTTCAATAATCGCTAGTTATTTTGCATACTAGCAAAAGATGAGAGACGTTCAAAGTAGCTGCCCAGACAACACATCAAATCCCAGAGATATCCACAGAATATCTTTTGTGGATATCCAATATATCCACAGGATATCAGAAATATTCCATGGATCTAATATGGATATCCAAATGTCCGTCTATATCCATAATATAGAAGATATCCTAATGGATATCCAGCAAAATATCTAATGGGTATCTTCCAGACAATACAAGAAATCCCAGATAGTCCAGTAACTGAAGACCTGAAAATATGCAAAGCTGTCATTAAGTCGGTCCAGATTTCCTTTGTGGCTCAATTCTTAGGTCTTGACGGTTGCTTTCAAGGGCGAAAACTTTTACCAACTCTGCTGCGTCGGAAAGGGCCCAAAATGGACCCCAAAACTGGTTTCCCGCCAATATCTTCCACAATATGCAAATTAGAGAATTTTTGTTTAGATTAAAAAGAAAGATCTTATCATTATCTACAAAAATGGTCCCTATCATTTTTGTCGGGAATTCGACAGGTCTCGAGATAACCGCAATCAAAAGTCCCCCTCGTTCAGCCCCTGCTTTATCTCTATAGCAATGCTGATTAGCTTGTAAACGGGTGGACAAATTGTTTCAGAACTCGGTCAAAAATTGATATTTTTTGATGATTCAAAGTTCATTACAATGGGAAAACCCATAGGTATCGATCCATGTGCCTTGAAGCCCATTATTTCCTGTCAAGAACATTGAAAAAGGGGTCAAAGTTGCGTTTTCCACTATTTTGGACCACTTTATAGTAATTCATTCATATTTTTTTTTTCTTTTAATAGTTTTTTATCCCATTTTTGTTTTAAATGGGATCTTGAGATGTCTCGAATGATCTCAGAAATTTTTTTTCAGTATCTTCCTGGCGTTTTAAAACAAAATTGATTTGTTTATTTGCATTTTTCATACGTTTTCGGAGTTCTAGAAATCTTTGAAACAAGCAGTAATTAAAAACTCATATTTCATTATATTTTTATTCAATGCACACCATTTTAAAGCTTAGAGTGTCTACTTTTCGAATGTATTTTTTTCGCGCCTAGACTTTGATATATTTAGTGGATGTCCATGGGATATTCAATACACCTTAAAAAAATTAATTTTAAATATGAACGGTACTATTAGCCACAATGGCGTAATTTTTTAATAATTTGCTATATAATTACTATTATTTATGGACATTTGTATGTCTATAAATTACATATCATGGATATAAAATAGATATCCACCATGGACTGGACATTCATAGTGGATATTGGGATGTTCAGTAGATATCCAAAGGATTTGGTGTGCTGTCTGGGTGTTAATTTTTTTATTTTCCTTATATAGTACCTACCATATAATGGAGTCATTTCGGATAACACTAGAATAACGAATATCACACATATCAGAATGGAAAAAACGTGGCCATTAAAATTTGTTTAGCTAATTATTTATTTATAATATGGAAAAATTATTAGGAGTAGGTATTATAATTTAACAATTTTTTATTTTATACTTCTAGTCACACATGAAATATTATTTTTTTGCTAATTTGAGAATACTTTAATTTATATAAATTGATTCTCCACAAAAACAAATAAAATAAAATTCCGTTCCATGCATGATTTGCGAATAAAATTTTGTGTGTATAACCTATACGTGGTAGAGAAAAAGTCTGGCTCCAAGTTATTTTTTTTAAACAACTGAATGTATAATTTGTAACATTTTAAAAGTCCAGTTAAAAATGTTATTTTAAATATGTGCCATCCTGTATAAATAGTTTTCAAATAATTTAAATTCAATTATCGCCGCACGCAATATTCCAAAGAAAGGGAAATTTCGTGAAGTGGGAGTACAGTAAATCAAACGAGTTCGCCATTAGATTTTTAAAATTCATTTATGATTACAATCTCTTCATATCTGGTAGTGCTTGGCCGTAAAAGTGGTAAGCATAAAAAAGTATGTCATTGTAAAAATATCTCGGTAGAAATAATATTCCAACCTATTGTTAATTAATAGTTTTTTTGAAAGTAAAGTTAAATTTTTCTAAATATGTTTTTATAATTCATTCTGGTTGCTGGAATTGCACAATGTTTATACATAGTAATTAGTTTTTATTGTATCTTGATTTAATTTTAAAAAGTAGATGTTTCACAATTATTTTATATCTCATACAAGAGCCACGTGAAAAAAACAGAATTTATTTTTGTTTAGAAAACGAATAAGTACAGCTGGAAACTAACCGTTGAAAATTAACTGATGAAAACTAACTGATGAAAACTAACTGTTGAAAGCTGATAGTTAAAACTCACAAGCTAAAAGTTACACGTAAGAACGAAGAACGAGGTATGCTGTTCATGCTCGAGTAGCAGAAATATGGGAAATGTGAGATTTGATGTTCGTTCCCGAGTCGTAGAATTTTCGACTGCATCCTAAGGAAAGTTAATTTACCTGATAAACTTTAAATGACTTGCTCCTGAACAGTTTCTTTTTTTATTTGAATAAATTAATTCATTTTTATAAGTATATATGTTGAATCTTATTTTTTAAAGGTTACAACAATTCTCTTTTACTCAAATTAAATTTTGTATAAGTTTTTATTAACTTCTTTTTTTATAAAGCTAGAGTTTATAATTCTCACTAGCTTTCAAAAATAAAAAAGAGAATTATTGGTGCCCAACTTTCCTAGAAAATTATTACCCCAAAGGTGTCTATTAGGAAAGCCGAATTCACGACTGAGAAAAAAATATGGTCAATGTGCTCATTTATCTCTTTTAATTTTTAAAGGTAAGTAGTTTTTGATGTTAAATTTCTCTGGTGTTTTGAAATTAACATTTTATCACAAGGTAACGTCAACTATTGCAAATTATGAAATTATAGGGCGATGAATATGGGACTCTATTATAATATTATTGTTTTTTTCTAATTCTATACATACCATGTAATAAAAGAGTCTAGCAGCAATGTATTTTAGGGTGATGAATGGAATTGTATTACATTAGTAATGTGCACGATACACAGACTAACGGTATGTTCCTGCGCATGCAGCTGACTGACGGTGAAGTCACGTGGGACATAGAATTATAAGCATTAAATGAGAGATAGTGTTTGAAATTCGATATTTTGCCGGTTTTTGATTTTATGCAGTTACTTAAACTTTATTGGCTATTTTGTAATATATTCGTTTACAAATATGAAGGTTTAAGGTAAATAATACAAATAAAAATAATAATTTTTCTCATAAATTATAGGTATTTTGTGACAAAATCCATAACCTAGCCATAAGATAAGTTAAAAATATAGACTAAAAATACAAGTTTGACTCAAATTTGTACTTTCTGGGCGTGGTAGTTCTCTTGCAATTCCTTTTCTTATTATGTGAAATAAAAATAAGTGGGCAGAAACAAATGATTTATTTATGAAAACTTTTTTTTTTTTTTTTTTTTTTTTTCTTTAGTGTACGGCTTCAACATCTAAGGTCATTAGCCTAGTGTTCTATGTAGGTTATGGATTGTACTAGTAGTCTAATACTCCATAGTGTAGAAGTATTAGTACTCTAATACTCCTACACCCCTACAGACAGGCCTTGTTACTGTTTCCTTGCGCCACTTTAGGAACAGCACTGTTAATTAGAACCCAACAGTGAATGGTCGAGTGGGGAATCCTACCAAGGCATCAGAATTAATTTTAAATAATTAAATTAAATAAAAAAATCCCGGCCAAATACACAAAAAAATTACTTTTTATTTGGTAAATTTTAAACACTTTTTTGTCCAGTTTATTTGAAAATATTCAAAACCAATTTTTCTGGTCATTATCTTATTATTATATATGTTCGTGTCCTGCTCATGCATGGTATTACTTCGAAAGAACCGTTGTATTGGGACAGCAAACTACTGTTTTATCTGCTAAAATTTTAAAATACCGATTTATTTTCTTTGCTTAATGAGTCCCCTTGCAACTGGTGGAATTCAGTTTCCTTTTCTTGCGTCTATGAAGAGAAATCTCACAGCTACTTTCCTTAAAGTGGATAAGGTCAACTTCATGCCAAAATAATAATATATATTTTTTATTTTAGCAACTTTTCACTGTCTCTAAACCTATTATACTTGTACATTGTTTAAATTAGGTTGGTTCTTTCTTCGATAAGACTTTACTCATATTTTGTGGCATTCGGAAATATCTTACATTACACTATTTTTGGATTTCATATTATGGTTTTGCAAGTCGCAACCGCGCAGCCCGGCATTTTAAACATTAATCCAGTCCTTCCCTGCTACATATAGGAAAATATAGTCACAACTAACACAAAAACAAATAAATTAATAAATTATTTTACACTATTCAATCAAAAAGTCTCAAAATAACTTGAAAGTTCGTCCCGCATTACGTCATTGGGCGGTTTGTACTAATTTTGAATCGAAAGTCAGCATATCGTTATTATGTGTATCGTGGTAATGTGTTACTTTTTAAGTATTATAAAAATTCAAAAAAATAAACTTTTCTCTGATATATCACTCGACCTACGGTGCCATTTAAAAAAAAATCAAGATGGTGGCGGTGCTAATCGCTGACGTCACATAAATTTGACATGTCCTCTAAAAAATGTAGAACACAATCCCAATAATCTTTCCTCCATGACAATCCCATTCATCACCCTACAATCTACATTCATTTATTTCAAAGAAAATATCTTTCTGCCAGACTTTTTCGACACCCCATGTAGTAAAAACTAATTTTTATATTTGGTGTGTTTACGCAGAGTCGACTTTATAATTTATATGTATGGAAAATGTGTACCGAAAAAACTATTTTGGATAGAACCGAATCGAAATATTTTTTTTAAAAATCGAAACTGAACGGGGCCCAAAATTTTTAGATTTACTTGAACCCGAACTGAACCGTAACAGTTTATTTCATGAAGGTTCCTGATATGGCTCATTGCTTCTTCTTGACTTCGTAAGAAAAAAAATCGATGACAAAAAATGTTAGGTTTTTGATTTTTTGCTCGTCCGACAGTCAGCCTTATTGTATTTGTATCAGTTACTGTTTATTTATTTGATCATCTAGCTTTATAAGGTCTTTGTTTAAGTTAAGAGACATTTTTTTTTTTTCAGGAATACCAATAGCTTTAATGAAATCTTTTAATTGGCTACTCATATTTTACGTTGCTGACATATATCTCACGTTTACCAATGAAAATGTAATCCTAAAATATATTTAAAAAATTTGAATGAACCCTAAAAAATGACAGAAGACAGTATGACATTACATAGATGTGTCAATAATCAATATGGCAACCATTGTTTTTATCTGTGACAGAAAAATTAAAAGTACAATATTTTGTTAATTAAAAGGTTGTTAAGTTGGTTTTAATTAAAAATTTTCTTTATATAAGTATTAAAATAATTATAGAAAACTACTTTAATAAATATACTCTATAAAGTATTAAGGTAAGAGTAATTATTCAAATAACTCAAACAACTTTTGATACTTGAATTTTAGATGGCTAATATAATCCCTCCGCTCGTTAGTGATTCTCCACCGCCACCGCCTTCTGAAGACGATGAAGATGACGAATTTGATGAATTTAGAGGATCAAATGACATTTCCTATGGCTGTGACAGTAAATAGATAATTGCCTTAAGGGGGTATTCGCTTTTAAAGGGAACAAGTTTATAAAAAGTCTGTAATTTTTATTTATAATTATCATAAGAATGTAGTAGGTATTTCACAAGGTATTAACTAGTGAAATTAACCCTTCATGTGTAGCAGTATCTTGCAACTTGCCACTATTGTGAATAATTTCTAAATATCTGACACCAGAAAGATATTTATTTACATATAATCATACCAAAACACTTAATTTAAGTGCCTGACAAGGTACAATAGAAGAAGTCTAAGGAAATTTGCAAATCAATGTACTTAATAGCTCTATATATCAGTGAGAGAACAATTCATTACCATAATTTGTTGAAGAATAGTAATTGCAAACAGAGATGGATTATGTGTATTTAAGTAATGTATATACAATTATGTATAGAAATAGTTAACATCAAATAACACAAAAGTTTAAAAAACTTCTTTTGAATAACAAGATCTCTTTAAATTTTTTTTTTTTTTAGTCATGTTTAAACAGTTTTAAAGTAGATGCAGATTTTATTTATGAATTGCCACATACTTTAGTGCCTGAAAACGGCATATAAAAACAGGTGTTAGTTGTTTACTAACTGTTAATTTGTTTTTGTGCCTACAGCATGTATTGCTCATATAGTCTGAACAAGAATCTTAAAAAACACATTGCTAGGAGCTAAAAAATATTTTTGGTTTATTTTTCTAGTTCATGACATTTCAAATTTAATAATTTATTGAACCGCAGCAAAAATACATTTTGACTTAAATTTTTCCTCAGTGTATGACTTTTTTTTTTTTCAATAATAATAATTTACTTTGGTGCATAAAGGTAAATATCTACTCTTTCCTTTTTTTCATAGAAACAAAATAATTAAACATTTTGATTTGGCTCTTCTTCTACCTCCATCATAAAAAATATGGTTTATAGTTGAATACCAAAATAATAGGTGGTTTATTTAATGTGTGAAGATGCTGTCATGTTATTGCACATTGCACCAAAGTAAATTTTTGGAGGATACCGGACAAGTATTTTTTTTTTAGTGGCAAGCATATATGGCACCTTTGTCAGCATTCCTAACATATTCATTGAATTAAATCAATGCGCATTATTTCGATATTCAACTATAAAATCACTAAATAATTTAATTATTTTTATTTAAAATAGTATATAATACTAATAATATTTAATGCTTCTAAACCTGAGTTACAGTAATGAGTACAGATAGATCTTAAATCATAAAAACATTATTCAATTAATACAAAGTTCATTTAATACAAAAAAAGCGCAATTTTAATAAAATATATTTAGCAACTTTTCTAGCTTCAAAAATTGATACTTTATGCAAAGTATACAGCAATGAGTTTACATTTTCAAGGCAAGCGATACTTTGCTTCAAAATACATTAAAATCCATATCTGAGTCCATTTCCTACAATTATTAAAACAAATAAGTATAATTTAATTAAAAGAAATTAAAAGTTAAATTTATAGACAACAAAAGATATCAACACTTATTATATTATAAAGCTAGTGAATTCAGTAAACTAAGTAAGTTCTTAAGCCCTATAAAATCGATTTACTGTAGGGTACCTGAATAAAGCGAATACCCAGACAAAAATTGTGTACTTATGAGTATATTTTTAGGTTTATCCTTAACACCTTCCCCAGAGCAGTCCCCTAAAAAAGTACCTAAAGAAGCCTCATCTGCTAGTGAACATGAGTTTAACTTTAGTTCAGTAACTCCAGAAACTGGTCAAGAAAATACAAAACACTTACATATAGATCAGTTAAAATTAAAAGAAACTAATAGGGAAGACAGCAACCAGACAGTAGATGTAGTTCCTGTAGAACAATCTTTAAAACAAAATAATAGTGAATTATCAATTAGTGAAAGTTCAGACAAAGTTAAGGTAGAAATTACCACAAAAGTGCTTCACAAAAACAATTATAATAAAGATAACATTCCAAGTCAATTCATTATTGAAAGTCATAATGTAAAATGCGAAAACGAAATCAGTAATTGTGATAATAAAAATGAAAAATTAGAAAACAAACCTGAGTTACATAATATAGACAGTAATATGCCAGTTGTAGAAACTAAATTGCCCAATGGTTTTGTTGATTTAGAAAAATTTGATGGACCAAATTTTTCTGAATCAACACCTACAGATCAGCCTATTAGTAACAATTCAGAATTTACCCTACAAGATACTTGGTCAGCTAATTTCTTAAGTAATGAAATTAATGGCCTGGAATTGCCAGTTTCAAGAGATAGTCCTATAGATAATTCAAAATGTAATGAAAAGTCTGAAGAATTTACTGATTTTTCAAAAAGTATAACTGATGATCTAAAAAAAGAAACAGAAGCAAAAGTAGATAGTTATTCTTGTAGTAATGATAATGAATTAAATGATTTTAGTAATTTTTCGTCAAATCTTGCACATTCCATACAAAATAATATCAACAATGATCTAGTCAAAAAAGAAAATGTGGAACTTTCAAGTACTACAGACAAAAAAGTTGATTCAACTTTGAATCCAGATATGTGTTGTGATAATGAAGTAACAATGGAATCTACTTCAAATAATTTTAATGATGATTTTGGAACTTTTGTATCTCACCATGTAGACCTAAGTAATAAATCTAAAGAGATTGAATTAGAAAATGAAGAATTTGCATCTTTTAATTTTCATTCTGTAGATGATTTAAAACCACAATCTCAATATAAATTTTCCAATAATGATATAGAAGTAAAAAATGATGATTTTTCTGATTTTTCATCTTTTACTGATAATCCACAATCGGGTCAAAGTCATAAAACGAATGTACAAGAAGACAACATAGAATTTAATGCTTTTTCATCAAAAGATGCAACAAAAAAAAGTGAAAAGGAAAACGAGAGTGAGTCTGCTAGTTTTGCAATATTTCCAACATTGAATTCAACTGGAAATTTTACATTTAAAAATGATGATGAATTTGATGACTTTACCTCATTCCCAGTAGATTTGACTGAAAATGAAGGCCCACAAATTTCTGATGACGATTTTGATGATTTTGGAGAATTTACATCAACTACTTCACAGTCACCTCTTGACACATGCCAAAAAACAGAACCTTCCAAACCGTTTCTATTAATAGATGAAAAAGAAGCTTTTAAGAAAACTGAAGAAATTATTAAAGATATTTTTGTAGCACCTGATGAGATTTTGGATGATTTTCAGTATTTCGAACTGGGAAAAGGTGATACTATATTTACCCAATTACAAGACATCACTGATACACCTGCTTTGGGATACATTTGGTCAAAATCGACTAGTCAAAGGTTGCTCTTGAAGTCACTTAATATCGATTCAAGAAATATAGTAAGTATGTTTCTTCTAAGACTGTAGTAGTGCTTTTAATGGCATTTTGTGTTTAGGTATTATGTATTGTGTTTGTTAAGTTATTAAGTAACCTGCATTTTTTTTTTGAATAAGGGAGGTAGTACAGAAAACCAGCTTAAGTATGAAAAACGATATAAAGATTAAAAACTAAAACAAAATGAATGCACATACCTTCCCTAGACAATAAGGCCAACTTAGGATTTTAGTACTAGTCTGAGCTCATTAGTTTTGTTTTTTAAAGTTCACCTGTATTCCCACATTACAACTTTTATGATAAGTTACATAAGTTTCATTGATGTCTTCTGATATCAATAAAATGTAATCTGCCACACTAAGATGACAATGATCTATTAATACATCTCGGAGATGATGTCAAAACTGTATGTGTCAAATTTGCTTTTATATAACTCTTAAAATTTGTAAATAAAAATTGTGTTTAATAAATATTGTACAAACTCTTTCGTTTCTATATGTGACTAACAACTTCTAAGACGACTAAACTGTAAGCTATTTAAATGGCCATTAGAAAAATAGACTTAAGAACATTCATTAAAGTTAATAAATAATAAAAATAAATCTTTATTGGTCCTTTTTGATCACTATACAATGATATATGATATGTCAAGATACATGTAGTGGACAAAACACAATTAATTTAAAATCTACATTTAAATATAAATATTGTAACCTGACAAACTGGGCCCTAACCTAGTTTTCCAAATACCTTTAACCTTGGCCTAAATTTCGTCTAGTGGTTCCCCACGAAGTGATGTTTAGAGTTCAATGTAGCTGTAATGGAGGAAGAACAAAGGAAACACTGAGATTAATTTTGAATACTGTTTATTTAACATCTATTCTTTTGTACAGCCGAACATTATTACCAAGGAAAGCATTTTATACTGTTTCTGAGTTCCATGATTCGTAGATAAATTATCTCCTTCATAAATATTATAATTATATTTTGGTTTATAAATAAATTTGTTTTAGATTTTTTTAAGTTTAGTATCTATTTCAGAATTTTAGTACTTTGTATTTTCTATTCTACCTTATTAAATTGTACACCATGTTTTGACTTTTCCCATACCTGTACAAGGTCTCTTGGAATTAAAGATTTATTTATTTAGATTATGTGCCGTTTTTTGGCTTAACATTATGTTTATGTAGGCTTTTCAATGTGTCATTTCTAACCTCAGAAGTACTTTGGTATATTTGTTTGTCTCCTAATATACAATCACACGTTTTCACGGACATACTGAATTACGCATTGTCTAATAAAAGAGAGTACAGCGGTAGCACGAGGAGTGTTGTGAGATATAAAATATTGCGTCGAATTGAGAACCTCCTCCTTTTTTGAAGTCGGTTAAAATAATATTTCTAATATGTGTAAAAACCGGAGTGTAGATTTACCTCACCGTGCGTCACGCCTTTCTATAATATTCCAATGCCGTAATGTACTGACATACTCAGTCCTGTATGGAAAACACTGAACGGTCGATCGGAGAACACCTGATATAAAGGGGGATGCCCGTCAGGCCCACTTTTGGGGTATCTCGGTAGAGATCCATCCAAGCCTCTATCAGGATTTAATTTACATAGCAGCAAGGGAAATACCATTTTTAGGCCCTTACTATTGAGGTACCTGGCGGTCTATGTGGCCTAAGGCGTCTTTTTCGGCACGATGCTCTTTTGCTCTGTCGATTGACAAATCAGTGTTATTAATCACAGTTCTGAGGATACGTTAGCTAGTCCACAAACACAATTTCACATATTTATTTTAAATAAATAAACATACCGACTACTTCCGCGTAATGTCCCGCTAAAGATATGTGGATATGTACAAATAGTTATATTCATGATTCTACCCGCCGCTGTACATATCTCCTTTTTCCCGAAAAATCGATACACAAAACTAATACTCCTTACGGCTAAAATGACACATTTGTCTACCCATTTTTGTTTTACAAAGAACGACAGAAAACATTTTCTTAACCACAATCTAACTTTAACACATATACAAATCAAGGCATTTACCCTACTAATCTATATCTGTTTGCCATTTAAAAATAAAACCGAAAGTGCGTTTCCTCTCTACGAAAAGAAGCAGGTACTGTTTACAGACACCCCAAAACTTTACAATTCGGCCCTTTGGCCATAAATCTAAATGACTTAATTTATTACTTGAGAGTGTTGACCGATTTTACAACAATTAATATTTATGACAACATCACTATCGATTCTCTAAATAATATAATTTAGCACAATATAAAAATCCTATAATTTTTCCCACAATAAAAGTTTATCAATGAATACCAAAAATATGACAATACCACACAGACGCGAATTTTCCCGCTAATGAATATAAAAATAATAAAGTGATACCTGTAACCCATTAATGTTAGTCTCCTCTCTCCCCCGGAATATCTGAATATTATATACTAGTTTGATTACTTTAATAGTGCGATTATCGTTTTAATTCTCCGAGAAAAAACTTTACAGAAAAAAAAAGTATACCGCCAGTGTGGTGATATGTGTATACTATATACCTACTCCTAGAGCTATAGGGAAGGTTTGTCATTAATTTGTATGAAGTTGTCATAACTAGAAAATAAACGAGTTTTATATTAAAGTTGTTATAATTAAACAATTACTTCATGGCGCAGTCATAAAGAAATATATATACTGTAAAGATCTACGCATAAGTACTAAGAACATTTTTATTTAAAAAAAAAAAAAAAAAAAAAAAAAAAAAAAAAAAAAAAAAAAAAAAAACGGTGCTAAGAGCAGATGGACGTATATACTCCAGAAACAGGAAATTCATTCGAGAATATCTAGAACGGGGAGATGAGATATGAGAAAAGTTAGCGGAAAACGACTTAAGGGGGGATGTGGTGATATGTGTATACTATATACCTACTCCTAGAGCTATAGGGAAGGTTTGTCATTAATTTGTATGAAGTTGTCATAACTAGAAAATAAACGAGTTTTATATTAAAGTTGTTATAATTAAACAATTACTTCAGCCAGATATAAAATATCTGGCGTTTAACTAGACTAGCGTGGTATTACCAGTATCAGTTACGCCAATATTTTAGTCGCTCGGTAGATATAACCTTACAAAACAGTTCTAGGAGCGAAATCTGGTTCTACTCAACGTGTATCTGCTTGGTCAACCTGACATATCTTCTTTTACTTATATATAAAATATAGGAAAAAGGTGGTCATCCTAAGGACAACTGGATATCTATGCAGAAGCCGTCGTTTATAGAAACTAATTTCTCTACTCCGTCGATTTCTTTTATTTCCGTTGTCAAAATATCCCAAAAGCGCGGCCACCGTAAGGGTAGCGATATCTCTTTTTAATTATATTTGAAACAGAATAAATGCAACTTGGCTGAATATAATCCTAGAGGTCAATGATAACTATTCTAGGAATTGCAACTAAGCATTATTTAACTCTAGAGAATTTACTATATTATAATATATAGTGTGATTTTTTATATAACATATATCGACAGGTAGATAGGGGGCAGTATGTGGATGCACTCTTCTTTGACTTGTCCAGAGCTATTGACACAATTGACATATCCATTGTTCAAAATAAATTACATGCATTAGGTTTCAGGGGCATAATTTTAAAATGGCTAAGTTCTTATTTAGAATCACGTCAGATATATGTAAAAGTGGGTACACTCTGGGGAAATTATCCTGCTACTACAAGAGTATTTATTGCACAAAAAAGAGCAATTAGACTTCAATCTGGAATCAAGAAAAACATGCAGGGATCATTTTATTAAATATCATATACTCACTCTACCCTCAATATATATATTTAGGACAATCCTATATTATACAAAAAAAATGAAGCTAAATTTTTCAGGAATAAGGATTGTGACAACTATCCCACTCGTAATGGCAATTAGGCATGTATCTGCTCTCTATGAACATAGTCCTGAGTAGGCAGGAATTCAATTATTTAATAAACTGCCAGCTGATATTAAAAACATACAGTTCATCAAATTTCTAGAGGTGTTCGACGCCCAGACAGAGATCGCGCTACGTGTGACTAAGATAGCTATTGTACAGTCTGCTAAACAAGTTATTTTAAATAGTTTTTAATATTTTTAGGTAATTAAATTTTAAAAGTGTGGAATAGTTTAGGGATTAAATTGGTCTGATTGGACTTTCTTAGAACGTTTTTAAAAGCAGCTAAAGATAGTATGTAGAATTGAAAATAATTATTATGCCATAAAAGGTGTTTTGGAATTCCTTCAACCTTTCGAAATTGAGTCAGAAAATATAAATTTTATAGGATAGCGGAAAATACCTATAATTTTTTTGTAGGCCTTTGTAAATCGTGGAAATAGTTTATATTTTATTTCTACCTTATTAAGGAAAATGGTACCTATTATTAATAACGGTTGTTTCTGAAACATTACTAAAATTTTCGAAATTTTGTTTTTCTACAAAATAATAAACTATACTATTTAGAAAAAAATGTATTTCTCTTATAATTTTATAAAAAATAACAGGGGAATATTTACATTTCTTGATCTATTAAACATAACGATAAATTATCTCGACGAATGACACCATGTTCTAGTACGGAAGCTAGCTTTACATTTTTGTTGGTGGTTTCATGGGTTTCATATCAATTTTTTGTAATTGTAGTTTACACGTACATATACCTCTTAACACTTGTTTGCTTTATTAAAAAAGTGTGTTGTTGTGATTTACGTCGAAATAAGTCAAGAACAACTTGAAACCCCATATAAAATCAAAAAGGAGAAACGGAAAAAAATTGAGCCTGTAAATGAACACAACTCAGAAACAAAAATAGCTATCTAATAATAAAAAAATAAAATTTGATTCTTGTGCAGCTTCATCTATATCATTAACTGTTTTTGGTTTTTTAATGGTTTTTCTTGGTGATGAAAATTCCGATATCTCACGGTTATCGATTCTTTTTTTTCTCTCCAGAAATGCGGACGACAGTATTTTTAGATACTCCTGTGGCTGCAGCAACACGATCATTTACATTTTTAAATGGTATTGAAGGTGAATTAAAGTTTCCTTCTCTTCTCATAAACTCTATAACATTGGCTATTATTTCGCGAGATTGACTTTTAATCACGCGGCCTCTTAATTTGCTATTAAACTCCATACTTAGGTTCTATTAAACTGTAATGAGCAAAAAACACAAACGAAAATAAAAGAAATGTTTTAGCGAAATTTACATCTGACATTTATGTCAGAATGAAATAGTGAAATACTTGATGCGCAGAGTGTACTTTCATTGCGTAAATCCGTCGGGATGCCTGTCAGTAGTGCTTTCTCTGTCTAGCCGTCGAAAGCCTCTAGAAATTTGATGAACTGTAAAATCCATTAACAGCTTTAAACAAACATTAAAAAGAATTTTAGTAACAAAATGTTTTTATAATGTTAAAGATTATTACTAGGTAATGTAATATATTATGTATATGTATGTATATTTAAATGTAGATTTTAAATTGTGTTCTATCCACTACATGTATCTTGACATATCCTACATCATTGTATAGTGATCAAAAAAGGACCAATAAAGATTTATTATTATTATTATTAATTATATTCGTTCAGTAGTCTGAAAGTAGATAATATACATGTGGGTGTAGAAAATATGTTTTTTTAATAATCTTGCAAATAACTTAGTTATTAGCTGGACATAAATCTACAGTGTTCTACTTAAGCCGAAAACTTTAGTATTAGTTTTTTGAAAAAAAAAATATTTTTCATAAAAAGTCTAAAATCTAAAATTCAACCATCAGATGTCAAATGTTTTCAGTCATATATGAATTTTATGCAAGAGTAAATAAAGTACCTTTATGCACGACCGGGCGATAAAGTCCAGATTATAAATACGTTTAGCGGGCATAAAGTAACTTTCTTTTTTTTTTTTTTTTAAATTCACATGTAGTTAGTAAAACAAACTTTATTATTATTATTTATTATCATGTAGTTTGGTACAATTAACAAAATATGAGTTTAATAAAGAAATTATAACTTTAAAAGCCCAAACATAAGATCCTCACACTTATAATTTTATACTAATAACACAATTTGAACAATTACTTATAGAAATGTTAGGATTTGCTACCTTGCTCTGTTGTAAGTTGCTACGAACTTCTACTAACTCCGTATGATTTGGGTTACTGCTGGAAGGTGTATGCTCAAAAGAATCGGTATGTAAATTTGAAAATTCCGCTGTGCGACTAGTAGAAGGCATATCAGCATTGACAATTTTTTTGGCGATTTTCATTTTATTTGCCACAGAATCTTCAATATAACCTTCTGTCACCGTTGTAGACTTCCAACCAGCATGTCGCTTTATGTTAAGGATATCCTCACCTGCATTAGCTAACAAAGTTGCTGAAGATCGTCTAAAACAATGGCCTGTGTAGTCTTTTGGAGTAGGCAATTTTAAATAAGTTGCTATTTTAAAAGGAATTTGACCAAATGTATTCTTTCCAACCACCTGACTGGAACATTTTCCATTACGATAATACACAAAAAAACGTCCGTGGTTGGTATTTGTCGTACGTAGTGAAGCATATTTTCGATATAAGTCGAGATAACTTGGTGATTCCTGCTCTTTGTCAATCACACTGAAAATGCGGTCAATTTTAGTTTTAGATGCTCGTATGGTTACCAATAAGGTTGTTCCTAAATCTTGAATGTCGTCTATTGAAATATTAGCTAATTCCTCTCGACGACATGCTCCACAAATACCAAAAATTAGTGCAACCTACAATAAATAATATTAACATAATAGTCTAAAATAAAAAAAAAACAATTAACTTACTTTTATCATAAGATATAAATTATCTGGAGCATCTACTAAAAATAATTCTATTTCTTCCCTGGTTAGAATTTTTGATTTTTTTGTTTTATAACCGTCTGATTTCCGTTTTAAGAATGTTATCAATCTTGAATATCTAGCGATGTTTATATTATTGTGCAAATTTACAGTTGCTTTTAACATCGAATAATATGATCATAGAGACGACGGCATTTGGACTTTTCCAGAAAAAATGCAAGAAATACATTTTCTGTATAGTTACCGTCTATACCATTCTTCAATTTGCACCAGCTAACAAATTCATCGTAGACCTTATCGTATATTCTCTTAGATTTGGCGGGTAGTAAACTTAATTTTGCATCTTCTGCTGCTTTAAAAATTTCCGGTGGTATTTCGGAAACTATTTCATCGTCACTACTGTCCATTACATAAACAAAATATATAAAACTTCTTCGAAAATATACTAAGAAACTTGCAATACGTGAAGTCGACTGTAAATAAAAATGGCGTCTAACTATTCTTGTCCTATTGACTTGGGTGCTATGGTAACGCGTATAGGTATATAGATTATTGTTATTTTATCATCTTATTAGTTTCAATAAGACTTATTTTTATTTAACTATACAAATGATTTGGTAGATTGTTATACAGGGTGAGTTATAATAATATCGAGGTATAAAATTTATCCAACTTGAAACATTTATAATAACCTACTCACAAAAGGTGAAAAATAAAAAATAAAACATATTTATTAATAAACTATCATTAATACGGTCGTGCATAAAATTTTGTATATTTATTAATAAATGACTATTAAAACGGTCGTGCATAAAATATTGTATGTATTTCGGGCGTAAACAGCGTTTATGGACCTTACGTGTTAATAGCCCTCGCCTAGCGGCTCGGACTCTTACTTACACGTTGCGGTACATAAACGCCTGTTTTAGGCCCTTGATACATAAATAACTAATATTTTTAACAATATCGAAAATTATTATTAAAGAGTTGATCAGAATTGAAAACTACGATCTTTAATACTTTTTGGCACGAATACGAACTATATTTAATTTTGCAAATCATAAAATTGTTTTTTTCATTGTAGATGGATACTCTTGGATACCTATCTCACTGTAGTTTTAAATTCTGATCAATTTTTCTTAATAATAAAATTTTTGATAATAATATTTTTTTACCAAACCTCGTACATACATGACTGAAAAAAATTGATATCTTATGATTGTATTTTAGGTTTTAGACCATGCAGAATTTTTTATGAAGAATAACTTTTTTCATAAAACTAATTCCCATATGGTGCCGACTTAAGTAAACACACTGTATGTATATTAATACATATAAAAAACTTAATTTCTTACTTTTATAAAAAAAAGTTTATATAATTTTATTATAATTTTGAACTAATTATTACCAGCTTTATGAATCAATAATGCAAAAATGTATGCAAATTAATTTTTATCAACAACAATAGTTTTATAAATAAACTGTTATTTAACTGTTACAATTAAATGTAAATGAATTGTTAATATAACGTTGATAAAGACAGATAAGGCAATAATAAAGTTTGATTCAGTGTTTTGTATTGACATATATCTCAAGGTTAAGGAAAGTCTTAAATTATATTAATCAAATTCTCATTAGAAAAATTGGTATAATAGGTAATTATTTTAGATAAATTAAGATTTCTTAATGGCTTTTTTCACAAACAAATTAGTAATTTATTTTTATCAACATTTTACTTGCCTTACTATTTTTTTATAAAATTTATTATTTTAAAAGTTGTTCGGGCATTCTTGGAACTCATCAATGCCAAGATTTGCTGCTAATCTTGGCGTTCAACCACTAGAACCCGTTAAAATGGAACCTCTAACTCCTACACCAGCTGAACCAGTACCACCTATTATTCAAAGTTCTCAGCCTGAAGTTGAGGAAGTTCCCAGCGCTGAATTTGATTGGAACAGTTCTGGCTTAGTGAATCCACTTGATTGTAAGTATTTTTTGGTATTTAATATCTCATAAACTAGTATTGTGTTTAAACAAAGAAATTATTATTTTAACATTCAAAATTAAAAATAGAATCAATAATTTTGTTTCACAGCAAAGATTGTGAACATGAAATTTAAATATACTAGGGTATTATACTTCTATTATTTTTAAGTATAGCATCTTATAAAGTGTTTGTTATAGACTATTGTCACAATATGTTAATTTTAGTGACTGATGTAGGAAACTGTATTTGAAGGGAGATTATATTTAGTTATAAAGGATAATTTTACATTTTTTTATTCGGCATATCAGTATATAAGGTCTAGGGTTCATATTTATAATTTGGACTTCGTGGAGTGCTTCCTAGAATGAAAATCAAAATTCGGTTATAACTGTTTTAGAGTTCTAGAATTACACTGAAATTTATAGATGGAAGTACTTCTAGAGTACTGTACATTTACTGATCAAAACTAACAAAAAGTCTTACAGAACAAGTATCCAATTTTCTAACATTTCGAGAAAAAAATCATTTTTAACTCATTATACAACTGTTGTGTTTAAAGATATTAGAATGGTGTTTTAAGATTTATACAAAAATAAATAGTTTCTATCGAAAATAAATCATCGCCGCTAAATTATTTGTGCTGTTGCCATCTTTATTTAAAAATCATGTTTTTTGAAGTGAAAACTTCTATAGGTACGTTAGGAGTTTTTCGGATAGGTAAAATTTTCACAGCTCGCGACACCGACATGCTAATGTTAATAGTATATCTATAGATAAGTATGGCATATGCGTTTGGCCAGCAGTGGAAGTATATTGAGTGTATATATAGATCTACTGGTGCGCGTACATGATGCACGAATACATTCATATACCCGACTATAAAGCACATGTCCAGTGTTGCCGATTTGTGGGTAATTACCCAAAAAAAGGGGTTATCGACTTGTTTTGCAGGTAAAATTTTCAATGCGAGTAAAACCGGTTATTTAGAATCTGCTAAAACCATTGAGATAGAATGATAAAACAGAAAATGGTGCGTAGATGTAATAAATGCAGCAAGCAGCAACTATAGCAACAGTTATAAAGCCTATCCAGTTGATCCAACTGGCACGTCTTGAGACGAAAAAAAAAGAAGACGAAGGCAATGAATAACGTGTGTCTTTTTTTTCATCGGTTTGTTGGAATCGCTGTTTCACTGATGCGACCTTGAACGCCTTGTGATGGATTCGGTTTATTTATGGTTGACCGTTGAAATAAATAACAGTTGACATTTGGGATTAAAATTTGTGCTTATAATTTTATTTGAATGTACCTATATACCTTAATTTGAAAGTATGTATTTTTAAAATCCCATTTTTTCGGTTTTTCCCACAAAAATAATTAACTCCTTAATTCTATTCCTAATAGGAAAAAACATACATTGAACTGATGGAATGGTGTTGCATAGATTGCAGCAACGTTGGATAAAAAGACAGCGCTGTTAGTTCATCATTGATAGATTGATGAAAAAAAAAGACAGGTAGATACCGCATCGATGCTAACGTTGCTGCAACAGTTGGATAAAAAGACACGTATTCGCTCCGTGCGTGACAGCAGCGCCAATTCATTTTAGGTACTAATGGACTATTTCTGTGTATACTGACAAATACAATTTATAATAGAATTCGTAATTAAAAAGTATATATGTTAGTTTTAATAAAAGTATATGGATTTGTAAAACAAGTAAAACATTAATTTATTATTATTATATATTTTGATCGCTTAAATTAAAAAAAAAATTAGTATAATCAATAAAAATCGATAATGAAATATAGACAGGCAACAGTATTTACAGGAAAATGTATAAGAAGTTGCCTGAATCTAAATCTAATGAGTAGTCTTTGAAGGATTAACCTAATCTGTCAAAATAAAAAATAGTATATTATGCAACGATCATGTAATGATGGTTATTAATACACGAGCATTAACCGGGATACGAAACGAGCCAAAGGCGAGTTTCGTATGGTTTATGCGAGTGTTTTAATAACCATTACACGAGAGTTGCATACGCTATTTTTTCTACACCCGATAAATAATCAAGACCTATAAATATTATATTTATATTGGTATTGAACACAATAACAGTAATTACTCGTATTTCTATAAAAAATTCTACAAAATTGTAATTAATGGTATTACTTCAGGTATTGGTATTTCCCTAGATTTTTGCGGTAAAATATTTTGTACTGTATTTTCTGCTTTCTCCGATATGTGTGGAGGAGTCTTCTATATCGCTAATATCAGACATTTTAATATTATAATTATCGAAGTTTAGCTACCTACGAAAATTTAATACGTTTTGACAACTAAAATAATTACATAGGAACCTAGGACAAACGTCAAACAGCATGCTTGATTGAAAAATTGTAGGTTTCTATTGATTAAAAATCTGTATCGTAATGAAAAATCTGTATCATAATGGGTATCATTATGAAACGGATTATGGGCATATAAGTGCATTATTATAATACGGGTGTAGAAAAATACCATTATAGCGTGAAGTTAAAGTATAAACAGAAGGATTGTTATTTATATTTTCATTTTTGTTCAAAAGAAAACATAGAATGAATAATTAAAACTGGTTTTCTATCAGTAAGTCAAAAAATTGCATTCCAGCCACACACAATAATCAGAGGTAGAAATCTTGAATTCTAGTCCTTGCTGAATGAATATATTTAAGAATAAAAGGATGTTGAAGAACATCGTAAAATGATAATTCATTGTTTATTTAAAACCTTTCAAGTTTCTGATGTCTACTATATCCAGTATTACTGTTATTACTACAAAAATAAAGGTAATTTTTCTTCTTATTGTACACCTATCCATTTATTTCTTTGATTCAATTTCCACTTTGCTACTGAACATTTTTATAATTTACACTGTTTTTTTTTGCTAGTATTGTTACAATTTTCAACACAGCAACTCCGGTTGTTTATTGTATTATTTTTACCTACTTTTTTGGAAAAAAAGTTAAATGTATACGTGTATTTGATAAGCCAAAATTACAAAATATCGCCCTAAAATGCACGAATTATCCGCAGCTAGCGCTGGTATCGTTTTGGCTTCCCCTACCATGACTTCGCACGGAGCGAATAGCGACAGTAGTGAAATTTCACATTTGACATTACGTTTGACAACAAAAAAGAAATCATATAAATAAAAGCTGTAAATTCGTTTTATTTTTTAAATAATTGAACACCGTTATTGAAAACTGCCCTGAACTGTTGAGGGTAAAATTTTGACATACTCCTTTAAGGATAACGGGTAAAAACGGGTTTTCACTTCTATCGGCAGTCCTCAAAGACTGCCTCATTTTTTTTTTCTCTCAAAAATTGCCTTATATAAGACTTTTTATTAGTTTTGATGTTAACCATCACATGCAAAAATTTGTTGAAACGTAACCCGTATGCGAACAATTACCAGTAAGAAAAAAATGCGAATTCCTTATTTTGGTATTGTTCTTTTTTTAAGTTTAATGCGTAAAATTGTTTTTTTTTTGTTTAACAAATTTGAATCGCCAATCAAAAACAGTTTTTTTTTTTGTTTATAAGATGCTATATACTCAAAACAATTTATGAAATGAAGTTTAGAAATGGACATATTGATTTAGCTTCTTCATAAAATCTGGTTTTGTCATATACCGGGTGTTCAAATTAAAGTGTTACAGTTAAATACCGCCGAAAATATGCATTTTATAAAAAAAAGTTTCAGACAAAGTTTTATAGTTTTTTGGGGGAAACATTTTAAAATTTATTTATTTATTTACAGACAAGCCCATTTGAGAAATAAATTACAATTTTAAAATTATAATTAAAATATAGTGAAATATATATGGTGCTGAAATACAATCGTGGTATAATTCATTACATATAGACTAAAATAGGTAAGAATTTAAAAGATTTAAAAAGACAATAAGTTTGAATAAAATATTTACATTTAACATTAAAGTTCAAAGATTAAAGCTCAGTATTAAGTAATTGCTTTATAAATTTATGAAAGGGGGTGTTAAATATCTCAAGATCGTTATGAGTGTTGGCTAATCTTAACATTCTTGGAATACAGCTGCTAAAAGTATGGTTTAAACGATAAAAAGTTACATAAAATGTTTGTTGCTGTCGAGTTGAGCGCGTTGGAACATAAAGATTTATTTTTGTTAGAAGTTCAGTACAACTGCATCTGCCATTGATAATTTTGAAAAGTAATGTCAGGTCTCTCCGTTTTCTCCTAGTTTCCAAAGAGTGGCTGTTTAGAAATTTCTCTATCAAATAATACTCGCAAAGGACACCCAATTTATAGGCTATGTATCTAAGAAATGTATGTTGCACATTTTCTATGTTTCTGCTGTGCGTTATGTAATGTGGAGACCAGACAGAAGAGCAATAATCTAGGTGAGGTCGGACTAGTGAACAATAAAGGACTTTAATTGCAGGTGTGTCACTAAAATCATGTGTTAGCCTTTTGATAAAACCTAACATTTTCATGGACTTATGGATAGCCTTAGGTATGTGTTGATGCCTAAAGTGGGATCTAGAATAACTCCAAGGTCTTTAATTTGATTAACAGACTCCAAGATATGACCATTTAAGTTATAATCAAAAGTAGAAGTTGGTACATGGGATCGATAAAAGCGCATGACATGGCACTATAGCATTCAAGTCCATGCCATTTAAGGAACACCAGTTTGATAGATTATCAAGGTCAGACTAAAGCGAGAGGGCATCAAAAATGGTTTTAATAATTAGGAAAATAGTGCTTTACCATACTGAAAACAATGAATGATGTCATTTATAAATAAGTTGAATAATAAGGGACCAAGGTGTGATCCTTGAGGAACACCTGAGGTAACTTGAAATGAGTTAGAATAGTGATGGTTTACTTTAACCATTTGAGTTCTGTTCGTAAGATAGCTACTAATCCATTGCAGTACGACCCCATTTATGCCATATTTATAGAGCAAGAGA